GGGGCCGAGGGGTGGGGGGGGAAGGTAAAGGCGAGCAGGATTGCGTATGCCCTGTGTTCCATATTTAGCTTCACTGTTGCAAATCGTTCACACGCGTCTCAGAGCATACTCAGACAAGGACTTTTCTAAATGTATCTGACTGCAATTACGGCCAGACGTCGATGGATTGGAGCGCAATCACGTCTCGAGCTTAGTAGAAAAAGTTCTAGTGTGAGTATGCCGTCAGTTCTGCGCTTTCGCAAATCCTCCTCCTCCGTTTTTAAAGTGGCTGCCGTCTTCCCCCGAACACAAAGCACCCTCATTATGACTGTACAGGACATGAAAGATCGCTTGTATGCATTCATCATCAGCATGCATTATGATGGACTGCTCATGTAGCAGAGACAGGCAGGCGAACAGTCGTACATGCAGATGGGCAGAAAGACACACATGCAAAAAAAAAAAAAAAAGACACCTGCATGCAGAGAGAGACAAACAGACGAGCAAACCAGACAAATATCCCGGCGGAGAACACACACACACACACGCACGTACGCGTACGCCTGCATCCATGCACACACACACACGCACGTACGCCTGCATGCATGCACACACAACCACGCACACACTTAAGTCTGTCCGTCAAGTTGTTCGTTAGTTACTCTGTCACTGGTTCTGAACCTTGTCAGTGGCTGGGCCTCTTTTTTTTTTTTTTTTTTTTTTTTTTTTGGAAGCATTCAGTGGCTGGCCTCTTTTTCGCCAGTTTAATTAAACGGAACCACAGCTGGCTGGCTAGCTGGCTGACGATTGCTTCCTTCCCTTCCCAGCACTGCAAAGCATTCAGAATTTGATAATATCTTAGTCGGCAGTTTAATTAAACCACCAGTACCTTAGGGGGTCTTAGTCCCCCCCCTCTGACGCAAATGAATACAGACGCGCGTGGCGCTTGGATTCATCCACCACGTTAACGCCTTGTTGACAGTTTTCTTCTTCTTCTTCTTCTTCTTCTTCTTTTTTACTGTTGACAGTTTTTTTTTTCTTCTTCTTCTTCTTCTTCTTCTTTTTTTAATATAATTTGGACCATTTCTCGATTTATGCGTGTCATCCTTTCGGAGCGGCCGTATTGCTAATTTACCCTTCTCGGTATCTTTCCAATTTTAACGGATGTTCCGCAGGACAAGAACACAGTTAACTTTCTGCCTTTGAACTCACTCGGTTTTCTTCTGTACGATGGTTACACAGCGGGTCCGAGGTCACTCTTCTTGTTTTTTCCTCTGATTGTACCTGGATTCCAACTCGGGTCTGTCTGTGTTTCAACAGTTCATTTTGGTGTACCAATTGAGATAGGCCCGTTGGTGTGTGGGTGTCTACCAATTGACCTAGGCCCGCTGGTGTGTGAGGTTACCCATCGTTTCCTTTGCTAAGGAAAGGAAAATGAAAAGCTAAGGAAAGAAAGAAGGATCACTTTTCCTCTATAAACGAAGTACAAGATTTCATTTGCTTGATCTGCTTCATGCTTCACCTCAATGCGGAGCCGATATTTTTGGAATGATGAAAGGTGCAGAAATCATTCCACCCTGTTGAAGTATGGGAGTCTGTACCCCAGGAGCATCTGTACTTGGCGCAAGGTCTGTGGCTTTGCGTGCACAGGCAGTGTTCCTGCTTTTCTTATGTGGGGCGACCAGCAGTGCCTTCTCTGCTCTGCACTTCTTTCTTTGCTGTAGTTCCGTCTGACAGAAGTATCGGTCTGACATGTCCGTCTGACATGCTGTGTTTGTGTGCATCACAGGCTGTGAGCGCTTACGTGTCGAGCAACAGGCTGCTGCTGTGTTTGCCGACAGACGTCCTTGCTGACTATTGTCATGGCAGAAGCGGCGGCGCCAACGGCAGATGGCGTGCCAAATTCGATTGCAGAAACAGGCGCAGATGCAGTGACAACTGCGGAGAAATCTGCTGCCCTTGCGAGCAAAGCGGAAGAGCCATCGGCAGAGGCACCAAAGAACGATGCCGCTGAGCCTGCAGCAGGAGAAGCTTGTCAGGCTACAGAGAACAAGGAGATCGCACCTGTTAGCACAGAGGCGGCTGCCGGGGAAGGGAAAACTGAAGGAACTAGCACTTCTGCAGAAAACGCAGACGTCAACGCGGATGCCTTAGGTGGTGGTGACAAAGCCGTGGCTGTTCAGGACAATGGGGATGCTGCTGCCAAGGATGGTCAGAAAGAAGCGAAGGAAGGAGATGGCGTCCAGGATCCCTTGCCAGCTGCAGAAGCCCCGAGCGCTGTGCAACCGATGGAAAGCGAAGGTGACAAGGAGAGCGGCGGCGATGAGGTGGAGGTGGTTAAGGAGGTGGTAACGGAGGTTGTAGCGGAGGTTGTGGCGGACGAAGTGAAGGCCGTGGTTCATGAAGAAGTAAAGGAGGAAGATGTAAATAGCAAGGAGGTCGGCGCGGAGGGGGGCGTTCAGAACGAGGAGATGGAGGAGGCTCCAGAAGAGAAGGATGAGGGAGAACCGGCGGCGAAGAAGGAGGAGGAGGGAAAGAGAGGCGGTGAAGCTGTGGAGGATAGTGGAAGTGTAGAGCCTGAGAAGAAGAAGCAGAAGACGGAGGGGGAGGTGAGTAATGAGGTGAAACTGGGACCGAAGGTCTTTCGATCTTCCACGGAGATGTATGGTTACTTCTTTGACTTTCTCCATGGATGGTCTGTTAACCATGATGTGAATAAGTACGAGTTCATGGTTCTTAGTGACCTGCTGATGAAAGGTCATGCGGAGCCTGCGAGGAAGGTTGGCTGCGGGATCGAGAGCTTTCAGGTCCGATTTCATCCGAAATTTGATACGAGATGCTACTACATATTGCGAAAAGACAACAGTTTTGAGGACTTCAGCTATAGGAAGTGTGTCGATAAGTTGATGGGCCTGCCTAAGGAGCTGTTGGCGGAGGTGTTGGGGCCAAAGGGAAGGGGCGGAGGGAGGGGTGGTGGAGGAGGAAGATGGCGAGGCGGAAGGGGGGGAGGAGGCAGAGGAGGGGGGTATCGTGGTGGTAGACGAGGAGGTAGGAACTGGTAGTATACCTCAAGTGAGCGACAAGGCACTTGTATCATTCCTTATCCTCTATGTTTCCTTTCTTTCTCTCTTTGTCCTTTTCCCTTTTTCCTTTTCTCCTTTTCTCCTTTTCTAGTGTAGTGGACGTGTTCCAAGGACACTTGAGTGATTGGCAGGTTCCCCTTCACTCTTAAGGGTAGCGCAAAGTGTACGATGAGTGTGTATGTGTGGAGGGGCAAGGGATCGTCCCAGCTGTTGGGTCCATCCTTTGTACCATTTTTGAGAAGTTTGTGGCAAGTGCTGCCCTCTCCACTGCTTCGTCTGTTTGTAACCGGCTTCTGCGTGAATGTGCATGTTTTACCTTCTTGAACGAGGTCAGTCGTCGGCATGAAAATCTTTGTTGCAGGTCCCTCGAGATGTCGAAATATGTGGCTCTCGTCTTGCTCTCCTGTGTCCTGTCCCACTTGTTCAGTGAGGGATGATGGCGACTGCATTTTTTCCAATGTTGGCGTTCGGTCATGTTGCAAAGTTTTGCTGCTGCGTGGAATTATGTGCTTGTACTGTTGTCCCTGCTACTGGTCCAGTTTTTTGCTAACACTGTCTTCATCCGAATAGCACACCTCCCCTGGTCATTATCGCTGCATCTAGACCGAAAGTTGGCGAAAATGCAGGTATAATGAATGAGCGGGCGTTCTGTTTGGGTCAAGAAGGTTGTGCCCCCAGCTATTGCCCCTGCTGCCGATGCGCTGTTGTTTGGGTCGACTACCCCAGGTTCAGCAGATTGCACGTACTTGCTGGCTGCTACTGCCCAGCTACTGGTGCAATGATTTGCTTCCCCACGCCTCTCGCATCCAAGGCTGCCCATGTTCATTGTGGTTGAGGGCCAGCTTCCCACATTCCCGTGTGGCGACTTAACGGCACACTTGCTCGTTATGAAAGGATGCAGAGTAAAGAGGGAGGTACACTCCTGTTCATTTTACTTTGCATCTTCCGCCTATTTTGGCGGTTCTCTTAATGATGCTCATTTGTGTACATTTACTAGTAGCACATAAGGGAATGGAGAGGAAGGAAAGGTGTAGGAGTAGGAGGCACTGCGCAGGAAATGGCACTAGAACTGTTCCAGTGTGTGTTCGTGCTGTCTGCTATTCTCATGCGTTTGTTTTGCAAAGTGTGCTCTTTACAGGTGTGACTTGTAACTTGTAAAAATCTGTGACAGTAAAAATCTGTGACAATAAAATGGGCCTGGCCGCACTAACTCGCCGAACTCAAAATGTGTTGGTGAATTCTCACCAACGTGGCGAGGCCTCGGAAACTCACCAACGCGGCTAGGCCTCGAAAACTCGACAAAACGACGGCGAGGCGTGCCAAAGTCAGGTCCTTGAGAGGGGATGGGAAATTTTCGAATGTAAAAGGTAGCAGGATTTTTAGAATGCTATCAGATGTAAGCCGAAGAAGGGAGAAGGTGTGGGTAGAGGTGGGGGGAGGGAAAACACAAACGCAGAACGGGTAGTGTAGTGCGCGAGGTAGAGGGGTGGGTAGGGACTACAAGGGCAGTGCATACTGATTTAGTTGGCGGGGGGAGGTGTGAGGGGGGTGGGTGGGTGGGCAGAAATTACAAGGTCAGGGTGTACACATAGGTAGAAGGTGGTTGGGGGAAAAGAAAGGGTTTTCGTTAACGGAGAGGCAGGTGGGTA